TTCCAATGAAGAAGGCACACTGGCTTTCCTCTTGTTGTTTCTCAGCCCTCTTTCTTTCGACCGTTGCCTTTTCAAAATACTAAAGGAAGTGTTCAAAGCTGTAACTTTGACCCTTCCTGTGTAAACATCCAGCCTGTGGGAAAGCTGGTAGTCTGCGGTGGGGATCGACGGTGTGGTGTGAACCCCAGTGAGAGGGATCACTTTCAGATTGTCCAGAGAGGAATTTTGCAGGGCAACAGGAACAATGGGGGAAGCAGAGCTGCCTTTCCTCCTTTTCTTTCTCCCCTCTGTGTCTGTTTTGTCCTTTGACCTGTTCCTTTTGACTTTGGAGATAACAATGGGGGCATTGGCAATGCGGACAACAGGTCGCTTTTCAGTGTCGCTCCCAAAGTTTTGTTGCTCAGGCTGCGCTGGTGGGGTTATGGTAATGATGGTGGGGACAAGGCTTAAGTTTTCTGTTTTGTTTGCTACAAGATCTTTGGGAGAAGAAAGAAGAGTTGTTTCTTTGCTCTTCTTTCTCTTCTCCTTTCTTTGCCTTCTTGTTTTAGCTTTATGTGGAAGAGTAGTGCTTATTGAGGGAGTGACTTCTTCTGTCAGCACAGCAGTGATCGACCCTGCTGGCCTCTTCTGGACTGTTGCAGGTGATGTAATGGAAACCGTCTCCTTATCCAAGGCTGGTTCATCTTTCATGACTTCATTAGGGGGTTCGTCTTTTCCTCTGAGCTCAAATTCGCTCTCATCGACTCTTTTTGTGCTCCTGCTCGACTGATCATATCTTTGTGACTCATTGATGAAGTTACTCAGAGGCTTGACTTCTGCTTTGCTGCCAGAGGTTGAAACAGCAGCTCCTTCCTCTGCTTTCACACCTGCCTCTGTTTTCACTTTTCTCTTCCTCCCATTTCCTGTTCCTTTTTTCTTTTTGTTGGTTTTCTTTTTCTTCCCTGTGTTCTTCCTCTTCTTCTTCTCTGAACTTTGCTCCTCTACCTTATCAGAGTTGGTACTGGAGCTTTGCGACGTGGAGACAGTAGCGAGAACCTTGAGGAAATCCTCGGCGGCGGTGACAACGTTTCTGAGCGACGGCTCCTCGGGACCCAACATCGTAGACTGAGTTGCACTCTCCAGTTTCTCTTCTTCATTGCTTTTCTTAGAACCTTTTGACTTAGGAGGAGCTACTGTCAGCTCATCAATGATGTCAATGCCTCCAAAGTCATATGGCACCGCCTCTCTCATCACAGCAACGGGGAGCTTCTTGTATTGTTTGCACCTATGAGAGAGAAAACAGAGAGGGGAGGCAATGTGTCACGTATTACAAAAGTAAAATGGCTCAGTATGTTTAAAATCTACTTAAAGGTTTACACGAATACTTACAGACCATACCAGTGCCGCTCTACACACTGCTCTTCATAAGCAAACTCAAAGCAAGGGACACCGATGACATTAAAAAATGCCTGACCAACAACTCGGGAAGATGTATCGTTGACTTTCCTCAAACAGTCTTTCAACCTGCAGAGAGAGTAAAGGGATGATTTGAGTTCTCTATAAGAGAACTACAACTGACTAAATGACAAGCCAGTACTATATATTGTTAATACAGCAATGTATCTACTGGGCTGGCATTACTATCTAAAATTAGCCAGGAAGGTTTTAGTTTAAGAGACTATAATGCCTTAAACTAACAGTCAATAGAGTAATATTAACATCTGGCAACATAATTTATCAGCTATTCTACATACAGACCTGCCAAACATTTAATGTGTTAACTGCTCCTTATTAAGTTGCACTCTCCAGTTTTTCTTCTTTATTGCTGAAATGAAGAAGAGCATCACTGAAATAAAGCTTTTACTCACGCATTATCGCAGTCACAGTGACAGATGGAGTGCCACTTGAAATTGGTGTAACCGTAGTTTGAGGAGAAGGCGTGGATGACATGAGGGCAGTGGTCGTGAATACGACAGCAGTTGTCAGTGCCTGCAAACTCTCCTGTAAAAGAGAGGTCAGCGTCATTATATATTTCAGGTATTGCACTCGGGAGTCAGACAGCTTGAATAAAAACTTTTCAACCTACCCAGCTGGTCATAGCTATCAGCCATGTTCCCGGCTCCGCACCACAGGGTCCCCGGATAAGTAAAGCCTCTCTTGGATCTCTTCAGAACCTGCACCTGCACAGTCGAATCCTCCTTTTCCACCCTCTTCTTAAACTTCCTGCACATCAGCTTGGCTTCATCCATGCGCGCAAAACTCGCCTCCACCTGCCGCCCGCCACTCCGTCTCTTCAGCACCAACCTGCACTCGTGCATGAAAGATTTCACCTGCATCTGTTCCACTATCACGGAGCAGTTCAATAGTTTCCCGGCTGGACTGACTACTGAGCCCACCACCTCGGCTCCGTCTGACACCTGGTAGAGGAAATTCTCCCCCACCGTGGACATTTTTGCGCACACGGTGCCGTTGAGCGTGGAGAACATTTCTTTGCCCTCCTTTTCTGCATCCAAAGCGCCACTCAGGAGGTCGCCATTGACGACGTTTGTGTCCAGATAAGACAAAAATACGAAGAAGATCGACCACATGATGCGGCGAGTGGCACTTTCAGCACCACGCGTAACGGAGACAGCTCCTCGCGATTTCCCGGCGCTCTCGAGCAGCCCACCCAGTTTTAAGGCGAATCTAAAGTGGTACGATTATTGCTACGATGAATGACTGGGAGGAGTCAGCAGGATTAACCTCTGTAGCCCTGGCAGAGTAGCTCTATCTGTTAGACACAGTGAACAGGTATCACCCCACCCTGCGCCCCCCACCACCTTAATCATCTCACTTAACCCACGGAGGGTTAATTAGTGGGTGTGCGGCGCGTAAACCTGCACCTCTAGCTGCAGAGAAAGAGATGACCGCAAGTAACCTCCCACCCCTCCCCGCTCAGCACCACCCTAGAAGGCTGAGATATAGGACTTTGGGAAAATGCATGGAGGCGGTTCTAGCTCACGCCCGCTTCCCATGGTAACAGGCATGGGGTGACTGTGCCGACCAAGCACACTGGACATTATTTAAATACCACAAAACAAGCGCTGATTTGATGATGACCTAAATTACAGTGTAGGGACAAAACTCATTTACGCAGGAATGTGGAAAAAGGTTGCCTCTGTCACACGCATTCTGCACCGGGTGACTGAAGGGCCCCAGAGTCTGACGGCCGACACAGAAAAGAAAAAAACTCAATGAATTAATGGAGGTATCAGATGACTGCTTGGCTTCCAGTTATCCCAAGAAGCTGACACGAGTTGCCAATCATTCAAATGAACCCAAATGTAGAGCTTCAAGAAGCTTTTGTATTTTTTTCTGAAGAACTACAAAAACAAAACAAAAATTAAAAATTACATTCCCCCACCTCACGGTGGCACGGTGGTTAGCACTGTTGCCGCACAGCAAGAAAGTCCTGAGTTCAATTCCACCATCAGGCCGGGGTCTTTCTGTGTGGAGTTTGC